TTGAGTTCATTGGGTTCCTTGACTTCCTTCGGATCCTTGGATTTCTTGACTTCCTTGGGATCCTTTGGATACTTGAGTTCATTGGAATCCTTGAGTTCCTTCGTATCCTTGACTTCCTTGGTATCCTTGATTTCCTTGGGATCCTTGGGATCCTTGAGTTCCTTGAGATCCTTGGGACCCTTGACTTCCTTGGGATCCTTGACTTCCTTGGGATGCTTGAGTTCATTGGGTTCCTTGACCTCCTTGGGATCCTTGGGATGCTTGAGTTCATTGGGTTCCTTGACTTCCTTGGGATCCTTGTGATCCTTGACTTCCTTGGGATCCTTGGGATCCTTGAGTTCCTTGGTATCCTTGAGTTCCTTGGTATCCTTGACTTTCTTGGGACCCTTGGGATCCTTGACTTCCTTGGGACCCTTGACTTCCTTGGGACCCTTGACTTCCTTGGGATCCTTGACTTCCTTGGGATCCTAGACTCCCTTGGGATCCTTGAATTCCTTGGGATCCTTGGGATGCTTGAGTTCATTGGGTTCCTTGGGATCTTTGACTTCCTTGGGACCCTTGGGATCCTTGAGTTCCTTGGGATCGTTGACTTCCTTGGGACCCTTGACTTCCTTGGTATCCTTGACTTCCTGGGGATCCTTGACTTCCTTGGGATCGTTTGATTTGTTTACGGCACCTTATGCGGTAGTCTCGTAGTGCCCGTACGTTTTATATAATTTTTTGAGTTGAAGAATTCCTCAAGAGTTCGGAATTCACACACATCTCTTCTTTTCTGTCACAAGAACCTTGTCTGAACTCCAAGAAATTCGAAATATCTTGTTATTCCTTTCAGATTCTTGTTTTTATCTTGAACTTCAGGCAAGTTTCTTTTTTCTTTCCTCTTAAAAAGTATCTTGTCTGAAGTTCAAGATTAAAAAGAATCTTGCCTGATAACCAAGAAAAGCAAGAATCTAGAATGAACGATGTCAAGATTGTCGACTAGTGAAGATTACTCGAGCTCATCTAATTTTCGAAATACACAAAATGAATGTGTATTTTTTCACATGTGCATATATTTATGTATTGTTTACGTATATTTACCTTTTCATTGTGCATAAGGATAGTTTACTCTTCACATACTCATTCTTCATTTCTATCACTTGTAGTTACTTATCAACGTCAGTAAGTAATGTTTATTGTCCTTATAGATGTAATTTGATAGGTTTTAATAAACAAGAGAGCGGAATGCAGAATATTCTATACTAATTCTATTTGTCACATATATCATTTTTAAAATTTATAATTACTCACATTGATCGAAGTTATACAATATTCTATCAGTTATAGCATTGGAAAATATCGATAGTTATATATAAATACGCATCGAAGGATACTGTATATTCATATACACGAATGGTTTGTTATTTCTTTAATATTTGTACGCATGAGCAGTTCTTGTGTATTGCTGTAAAAGACAAAATGATTTATATTTTCAAAAAAAAAAACTTTTTATTGAAAACAACGTCTTTCGAAATCTTTGAAATAATCACGAAAGTTCAAAAATTACAAGCACCAGAGTACCAAATTACCAGAATTATCAGTTAAAGAGACAGGAACAAACTTTAGACATGATGAAATTTATTATTCGAAATCCAAGGAAGTTTATTTATTTACCTTGAAGTTTCAACACTAAGAAAGGAAATTTCAGTAATAACGACAATGGCTAAGATTTTTAATACTATATACCTTTCAATAGTAATAAATAGAAGGAAGAAAAAACCTCACCTACTCAAAAAATAGCAACTTTCAAAAATTACTAGAATGTTTTCTTAATTAAGGAAATTTGCATTGAATTTCAGTGAAATCGTTTTACTTTGTAGTAAACTCTTTCCTTCTTAATTAATTAGTTTTTCAAAAAATTGAAGCTTTAAATAGCGTATTTACATAGAAATATGCCCAGTTTTCAGGATTTTGAGCTGATAATCTTAAAAGAGCCTTTATAACCTTAAAAATCTCTACCCAAATCCTCAAAATTGCTTTGTTTTTCTGAAAAACACTTTTTTAATTAAAAGTTATGAAAATAAATGGAACATAATAGAAGGCTGAGTCGTCATCTATAGTGGAGAGAAGTTTAGTATTCCTCTAAATTTGCCTCTTTTTACCCTCAAGAATAGAAGATCAACGGTTTTTCAAAATTATTTTTAAGAAATCTAACAAATTTGCGAAATTTTTGAATATTAGAAAAGTTTTTCAGAATTCTATCCCGTAATAGAAAATCATAGCTTTTTATTCTGAGAAATTTAGTCTTTTTTTTTTCTAAATAGATTTTTATTTATACAAATGAAATATTCTTTTTTTTTTCTAGTAGTGTGAATGATGACAGATGAAAAACAAGAAATTGTACCATTTAATAAAGTTCAAGGGATAGCTTCGACAAATGTACCAGCATATTCTAATGAATATGATGATTTTATTTCTTTTGAAGGATCTTATCTCCATGGAATATATACTGGTTTCAAATGGCAGTGTGTTGAATTTGCTCGTCGATGGTTATTATTACGTAAAAGTTGCACCTTTAAAAATATCGGATCTGCTGCTGATATATGGCAAGAATTGACCTATGTAGAACGTATTACTGATGGTGAAAAATTTCCTTTGAAAACTTATTCAAATGGATCACTACATAAACCTAACTGTGATACTTTTCTTATATATCCTCGTAGTGAAGACATGTCACATGGACATATTGCTATTATATGTGAAGTTCAAGAAAATTTTATACGTGTAGCCGAAGAAAATTATCATTTTCATTATTGGTTAAATAATTATGCTCGTCAAATTCCTATGATATATCGAAATGGTCTTTATTATATTGAAGATTATTATAATGTTTATGGATGGATGGAAATTGAAAATAATCATCAATTAAAACCATTAGATGAATCAAATATAAATTTAGTTCTTCAAAAATATCAACAATCAAAACCAATTGGTGAATTAAAACGTTGTTTTATTTTGAATAAGACTTTTGATCATGATTATTCATCAGTCGATATTAATAATGGAAAAGAAAAATTTCTTATACAATCTAATAATAAAAATGTTTTTTATTATCAAGCAAATGAAGATTTTGTTGTAAATATTAGTAATACATCAAATGAATTATATCGATTATTTATGCAAACTGTAGATTATATTATTCATAATGATAAATTTTTAACATTTTTTGAAATACCTCATCAAATCTGGTTTCGAATTCGTAGATCTTGGACAGATGAACATGATTTTGATATTATTGATCATATGAATTTTAAATTTGATGGAAAACATTTCAAGTTATATCAATATAAATCTAATCAAGCATTAACAATTTTTCAATCTACTATTGCACAAGAAAAATGGGCTCAAGATATGAATCTCAATTATGATTTTACATCGAGTTTTCAATTACATCATCTTTTCGTAAGACAATGGAAAAGATTAAATATACAAACTACACTTCATATATTAATGGATAATGATAATCCAAAGGATTTGGAGATTATATTGTACATGAAAACGATAATGACAGAAGCAGGTATTAATTCAAAATTATGTTTATTGTCGAATGATCTCTATTGGAAAGATTCAATCATTGTTGACAAAGATGGTGAAATTATTAAAATTGTTTGGAAATTATGGAATTGGAAAACAATTTTTCAAGACTTGAGAGATCAATATCGTGACAATAAAGGAGGAGAAGAAGGATGGAAATCAATGAATAATGAACGTCCATGTATAAGTGATATTTTGTTAAATGAACAAATCAGAATTATCGAACCTTTATTGAAATCAATCATAAATCATAAAGCATTTTTCTCGGTACTATACAGAATGTTTTCAAATCATTCTGATATTTTACAGAATGAATGTTTTTCATCAGAAGATTCTAAACACATTTCTTTTATGAATTCGTCAATGGAAGAACAGAATAATGACGGTATAGAAGAGTATTTTGATTCTCATCATATTTCTCAAGAAATATTGTCAGACAAGAATTCTAAAAATTCTGATGAAATTATTGTTAGTTGGATGATTTATAGTTTATGTTCTGGTTTCAGTATATGTGAACATCAAAATCATACTACTAATGCAAATAACGCTAAAACATACTGTTGTATAATTTGATAGATGTATTCTAGGCTCGATTATCCATTGATATAGATAGAAATAAACACAAAGTATTGAACTATAATCTATTTCTATAATGATGATGGATGCAAACAGTGGAACTCTGCTTTATTTGTCAAAAGAGAATAATTTTAAAGCAGCAGTGTTCGAAAAAAAAGAATTACATTGCAGGTTTGCTCACTTTGTTGAAAATTTCTCGTAGACATGTAAGCTTAGCCAATTGAAGGTGTAGGGAATTTTTGACAGTTTGTTATTTGTATAATTTGAGTTTGGCTCTACAGCATTTACTCATACAGAATTCAATGTTTCCTCAAACAATGAATTATTTTTTGAAATTTGTACAAGAATAACAATGCACTGCACGACTCTATCAATTTGATGCAATGTATCCAAGCCTCGTGATTCCACCACATATGATGATCGATATGATAGACAAAGATCTTATAAGTAATAGCAATTGAAATATTATCAATCACTATTACAAGCAAATTTATTTCTGCAAAGTTTAACTCAACACATTCGATAACTGATAATTGCAGCGATATTGAGTGTCAATACCTGATCAGTTAGATTAGTAACAATATTGAACAGATGAGTGTTATGTTATTGTTAATGATTGATATCTTTTAGTTGATCGAACAACAAAATGACTACTGATGGTATATTAATAAATCTATGTGGTTATTAGGATGATTATTGTTGTTAGATAATCGCATCATTTGAAGCAAAGCACAAAAGGTGAGATATCTTTCTCAACATACTCACATATACTTTAACGAAGTGTCAACGCATAATAGACATATCTGATTAGGTATATTGTGTTCTCCTAAATCTTTGAATTCTCAACGATGAAACAGTTTTATTTCTCGTCTTATTATATTCTTATCTATTGTTTAGTAAGAGCAAGTATCTATTTATTATCTCATGTGCAGATTGATAACACTCGTTATTTTTTCTTGTTATTTAAAAACATTGATAATATGATGTTACACTGATAAAAGTGAGAAGAACATAAATGATAGCAACATTCTTTCTTCAAAACAAATAAAAGAAAAGGAGGACAATATTTATAAGTGACACAAACGTAACTTCATGTTTAATCTTGATATTTAATTCTGCATCATCATTCAACAATGTTCGCCATAGTTTTTGTGACTGTTCTTGTTCTAATTGCCACGAAAACGACATCATCTACAAATAGAGATCCGATACCATTTGGACCTGAACGATTAAATGACTTTTTCTTTGTTAAAAATGGTACTGTATTTCATCAATTTGTATGTATAACTTAACTTGTTATCTCTTTACAATCACAAATATATTTTACATATGTTACATAGAACCATGGTGCATATGGCGGTACACCAAAAATTGTTGTTGAATCCCAATATAAATATGTTGAACAAATGGAATCATCGATTGTAAGTGAAATCGAATATTTCTATTCTAATCAAGATTTATGTTTTTCATTTTTATTTTGAAATATTTAGCGTGATTGGATGAATGGTGAAACAGGATATCGTCAATGTATAACATTAGCAAAACAACGTTTAGCAGAAATGATGCATATTAAAAATGCATCTGATACTGTATTAGTTGATAATGCTAGTGAAGGAATAAATGATATTATAAGAAATTTAGATCCACCATTAGGACCATCAGATTATATTTTAGATTTATCTATTGCTTATGGTCCATTTAAAGGTTTATATCAATGGTTAAGT